TATATACAACGCAATCATTTTCATAACGCTTAAAAGTTAAATACGTTGCGCTAAATTAAAGTCATCATATTCTTTCGCTAACTAGTATCTTCTAGGAGTAACTATAATTACGACAATCTAGATGTATATTTCATCCTTCTGAAATGAAAGTAATACTTCAAATTGCATTTTTGTTTAAAGAAATAATAATTCTGTTGCTTTCGAAAAAAGTGTATTTTTACACTTTGTAAAATTTTGGCTTGAATTACTCGAAAACCATCAAATGAATACATCCGGAAATTAATATTTATATAATATTTGTGTCAAACTTACAATTTTCTGATATTGCGCTGAAATTTTCTCGATATACTATTTACGTACCAAGTAAATATTGCTCTTTGGATAAAAATACATATGTTCAAATTCATGAAGAGATTCTGTCTTGGGTTTGTTTCTTGATGACATTAAATTAAAGATAATTAAAAATTCGAGTCACGAATCAGTTTTTTAAATTCGAATCATGATTCAAATCGATCTAAATATATGATTTAGTATTTGATTTTTCAGAGATATGCGAGCATATGCAATTTAATTAAATCATCATTGACAAGGTTTTAATTATCGTGTTCCAGGGTCCACTACCATCATCACCACAATTATTTAAAACTTCTTTTTTAGCAGCAAATTTGACAAGTAGTTTGTTTTTTAGATAGTGGCGAGACAATGTAAGAAATTCATTTGCTTACAATTGCCCAAATGTTTTAACTATATTAGATACCAAGTTTGCTAAAATATATTTGCTTATTTTTTTCCATAAAAATAACTCAAATTACTAAAATGGTAACAATCATCATTGCATCCAATTGCGTAACTTTATCAGATTTTCTTATCTTTGATAAAAAGGTTAAGTGATATTATTGAAAATATTTAAATAAAACCAAGACGTTTTCATTCGTACAAGTCAAATATTATTTTATCATATAAATAATATAAATATATGAACAGATGCCAAACGATTAGAATGCGTACAGACGTTCTACGTAGGAAAATATTTCATTTTCCCTACATATACACACACATATATTCAATGTTATTTCGGGTATAGATGAGAAACCAAACAGGTTAATGTTAATTTATTAGTATATATTAAGGGTTACAACATTATAAAATTTAGAAAAAATGTTACAAGAATAATTGGTTACTATTACTATTATTATTATGAATATAAATGATAATGATAAATATACATAAAACAATAAAAAATTGTTTCGGAAAATTTTAAAAATTTATAAAAAGCTGTGTATTGTAGATCAAAATTGCAATTATTTAATTCATTAAAAAAAAAAGAAAAAGAGAAATGGCAGCAGC